GAAAGTGTCAATGACACTGTTAGCTTCACCACAAAAAAGGACACAAATGACGTGAGTGAGAAGAAGTCAGTTTTTAATTGTGAGGCAACATCGACCGTTACATTATAGAAACGAAAGAGTATGATATATGGTTGGAAACGGTTCCTATTACTCTCTGACTAATGTATGTGTAATTTTTTACGTGAAATGAAAAATATTATATATAAATTATAAATAATTGTATCAACCAAAATGATCAAATTTATGACGGTAACAATGGCGCTATACAGCTTTGATGTTTACCCTTAGCATAAATCCCTTATTATCATAATCAATAAATAAGTATAATATAATAGATAGCTATTCAATATAACTATGTTGCATCTAGCAGGAATTTTTCTATGTAAAGATATTGGTCAATGAAATCTTGAAAACGAAAGCAGACAAAGTGTGACACCACAGAACTGTTTGTTATCTTGCATTGTTTATTATAATCATGCTATATACTAATTGTTAAACCACTCCGGCCCCAACCTAATTTGCATAATTTTTTTTAAAACTATCAAAATCCCATAGCCTCTCATATTCTTATCACATACCACCAAAATAGTGAGCAAATCCGTTGACAACATGCGCTACCTGCGTAATCACTGAACCTATACCAAGTGACATATCTGTGTATCAAGTACTCCTTTGTACCAAGAGCATATATGGTGAGTATCGATAGCATACCTGGTGATATACCTAAGATAGCATATCTGGTGAGTATACCTCAACGATACTATACCTGTGATATACCAGTACATACCTGGTGACGTATACCACAACCGGATTACAACTACGTGTGGTATAGAATTATGGATATAGAAGTAGCGCATCATGAAGGTGGCGATCGTGGTGTGTTGGATCGACTGCTGCAACACTCATTCACACCAGAATTCTGGCCGCAATCATTGCTAGGGGTCTGGCATGCCCCCCCCGCGGCTCGCCTGGAAAAGAATTTGATTCTGAGATGCAATTTCCTGCATTCTGAGGGTCAAAAATGATAATAAATTTAACAAATCGAAGAGTGTCATACACTGCTAGCCTCACCACAAAAAAAGGACACCAATCGAGTGAGTAAGAAGAAATCAGGTTTTAATTGCACGCAAACCATCGACGTACATTATTGTGTAGAAAGAAAAAACGATTTGCCATCTGTATATCGCCAATAATATATTTATAAACCAAAATGAATCACAATTTGTGAGCCGTAGATGGCGCTCATACGCTCGCTGTGTAGTGATGGCGCTTTGAAATACTTAGGTTATGGCTCGTTCCGACATGTTGGGTTTGTAAATCTGTTTACTCTAATATTAGACGTTTTATCGGTCAGAGCTGGACGAGCGAAGATACCAATTTTGCATTTAAGGATATTGGTCAATGAATCTTGATAAAACGAACCAGACGAGTGTGACACCACAGACTGTTTGTGTTTATCAAGTAATTATGCTACATATAATATGCGCCCGAATCGCCTACCTAATTTGCATAATTTTTTTTTTAAAATATCAAACCCCTAGCCTTATTTCATTCACCATACCAAAACATGAGCAAAATCTGTTGAACCGACTGACTAAATGGCAATTCCCATTTTGCCAAAAAATTGCCGTGGCTCGAAAGTACGCGGACTGGCGTGCTTTCAAATAGGACGTTCCAAGTATGGGGAGCGCCATACGCATAACAACTACACGCATTTCACATGTGGGTTCAAACGGTTCCTGAAGTTATCGTTGACCGGAACCAATGTTGACCGGACGGACGAGCCGACGGAGTACGACGGACGACGACCCATGGCAAATAGCTCAACTTGACGATGTCAAGTTGAGGCTAAAAATTGGTGCTATTTGGTGCATTCCAAGCTTTTCTGGACACATTGTACTGGAGACTCTTAATCATTTTCAAGTTGTCAAAAGTTTACGTCAGCCGGAGGGCAGTGTTTTGAGATAAATTTCTGTGGTGGCGGCCTGAGAATTTTGACGGCGAGGTGGCCGCCTCGACTCGTATAAATGCAGGGGAAACACTGTCAATGCGCTCTGTCCATTTGGTCATGACAGCAGAGAGCTGGAGAGCAACAAACCACTCCCACTGAACAGAAGCCACACATCAGCTCTGCAAAAGAGACTAGCAAAGCCAGCATCTTTCATTTCATCAGAATACAGTGTCCTAAAATGTGTAGTCCGAAGAGTTTTGACAAAAAAAAGTATTTAAAAGTATTTATGCATGAAAAAAGTATAAAAAGTACATTTTCTTAAAAAAAGTGGCAGCACTGAGAATCATTAGCACAATTTCAATTATATCCATAGACAAGAACCGACAGTAAAAAAAAGGCAATTTTTCATTATTGTATGCATTTTCGAATGCCAATATACCTGCAAGTTCTTAGCATGGTTAGATTGCAGAGAAGCTTGTCCTCCCTACATTGCTGCTGCCATCTGGTGTATTGGTGACTGATCATTCAAGTCCTTGTCTATTACGAAATATGTGGCAAAAAGAAGATATAGTATCTTGTAGGAAAAGTAATTGCTCTCCCACTGACACATGTTAAAATCTTCACTTCATGCGATGAATTATTGTTATATACGGTTCTTGTTAACTTATTAACAGCAGGTAATTTGAACATGATAGCACGGGTAACAGTGTTTTTTCGGCTACGACGGTTAGTGCGACGCGAAGCCCTGGCCTAGGGGGGTTCGGGGCATGCACCCCGGAAAAAAATATTCTGATTTGACCCCAAACAGCCTATTTTGATGGCGTATGGTGTTCTAGATTTTTGGTGGTAGATGAGGAAAATATATGCCTATTAAGTAATCTAGTATAAAAAGAAAAAATCAATAAAATTGTGTTTAAATATTTTACCGCCTTTTAGTGGGAGTTTCTTCTCAAATTGAAAGGCCGGGTAAACAAATTGCGGATAGGCCTCGGTAAAAGATAACGGTTACCGTGCTATTAACAAGAACCCTTGTATATTAAAAATGCTAATTAGTATAATTTTAATGTAAATAAATTGCAAAAAGTACTTACAATATAACTTTATCTAACATAGCAATTTTAGTCCTTTTACTTTCAGCTTTTTTGTGATGCCATACTTTTTTCTGGTAGTTTATATACTCTGGTTCCATATTAATAGCAGAAATTATAGATTCTACTTTGCTACTAATTCGCCATTAAACAGCAACACTGTAAATACGGTCATGGATCGATGCAATAGAATTGGTTTGAAAATCAAAGCAGATCTCACTGACGCCTGGTAAATAATTTCTCATTGCTAGCCAAAGGAACTGAATACTATTTGAGGAACCTCCCAACGTGTTTTTAGGCTACAAATTAGGCAAAAATACAGTCTAACAGGCGTACCAGTGTTTATGCCCCTGGTGGAGGGGCATTCCCATTGTTAAAGGTACTGGGGACAGGTAGGGTGCTGGACAGGGTATATTTTCCGAACATCATTATTGGACACAGGGTATATTTTCCGAGACATCATCTCATTATTGGCACAGGCGTATCTTAGATACACCACCCATCAAGCGATATTGTACATTAATTGGCCCAAACCAACAATTTGGGCCAATATTCACCAGGCCAATATCTGGACCAATATGGCAGTATTGCGGCATACCGGCCCAATATTGGCCAAAACAATTGGCGCCAATATCACCAGGCTGATATTGGACCCATTATCTCCCCTATATTGACAGAGACAGGACATAACCGAACATGTGCAATATTACAACACGGCGTATACTTTTTAGTGCTAGTATACTTGGGACAGGGTGTATGTTAGGGGTGCAAAGCGGGTTTGCGACAGGGTCAGGTTTTCAAGGTTCCCGAGGCACCCCCCTACCCAGTTCTGAGGCGAATTGCTTCTCCGGGGTTTAATGCTAGGCTCTTAGTCTTACACGTCTCCAATAGCGTTTTAGAGCAGATACAGGTTATGTACACTATTCGCTAGACAAAATTAGTATCATATTATGAATAGCTTATAAATGAAAACTAACCTTCTTATGCGTTTACATTGGCTCCACATTGCCTCCACGTTCTGTGTGTGGACTCCCGTCACAGGATCGGCGAAATGGAGCGAATGGTTCACCGCGCCGTAGCAAATGGTTCACCGTGCCATGGCAAAAACCATTCACTCGCAAAGGGTGGTACGCCGACCATTCGTCGGTATAGATCGTTGTACCTGGAATAGATACAGAATATACATTAAAACGTATGACTTCCAATAAACTGTTATGCTTATCCATTATATGCGCGACCAGTCAGCTACTAATATAGAAACACAACTTGCCAATGTGTCTTGCTAATGTGCCAAAGTGACATGTGTACCAACAATAAATGGATTTGTGTAAACGGGCTGTGTCCGTACCCAAATCTATCGATGACAGAGTCAGTGGCATTAGGGTTGCAGAATTCCTCTGGCGTACTGGGGCGAGGAAACGTGGAATGCATCTCCCTATCAATTTCCCCCAGTACCAGTGGTTTTGCAGGAGCTGCCCTCTGCTATATTAGCACCTGCCAAACAGTGATTCGTCTACTTCAACCATGTATCTGAAATTTAGTCAGCGAGTATGGTGTTATTATTATTAGTAGTAGTAGTTAGCAGCACCATCAGCAGTAGCAGCAGTACTTATGCGCCAGTAGCAGCAGTTCAGCCAGTTAAGCAGCAGCACCTATCGAGCAGTAGTAGTAACTAGTTGCCAGGAGTTGTTCAATAATATAGAACTATTAGGCCTACTCAGTATACAGGGGCCGTGTACAGGATTCCTGTACGCACGAGGGGGGGGGGGCTCTACACCATAAACCCAAACTTGCCGAGCACACACGAAGAGGGGGGCTGGTCTTCCAATTTTTGAAACTTACGACCCCCATTCATTTCAAAAAAATTCCGGAGGGAGCATGCCCCCGGACCCCCCTAGCTGGCCAAGAAGCACCTGCACTGCTTGCTTTGCTAGGACCTCGAAACACACCACAAAAAATTTATCGCTTCACAGACTTTTATGGCCAAGGGATTGAAATATGCCAAACTGAGGGTTCAAGAGATAACTCCTCATGACGTTGCACACATCATTCCTGAAGCTTGTTTACATGCTGCACATAAGCTATAATATATTCGGTAATAAGGTATAAGGTAACAAGTGACTACAAATCATGGTAGGTTGATGCAAATTTATACGTTTTTAATACTTTTTTATGCAATTTTTATACTTTTTTTGTAATATCCTGAGTGGCAGCACTGGATTCTGCTTAAATAATTTCTCATTATTTTCCGCACAGCAAGAGTGATGGCAATACCTGGTAACCTAATAATGGTAAACCTGTCATGTTCTTTGATATGCGTAATATATTATAGTTCGTATTATACGTACATGTGCATGCAACTCACAGTGTATGCAGGGATTTTAGTCGTATGTAAAGCAGAAGTAGTGATACTAAATGAGCATGTAATAAGTTCCTATCTACGCGCATATATTAATGCTTAACGTCTTCTTCTGAGTATGTGACTGAGAAGTTAGTCAATATGTAAGTCTGAGCTTGTATCAGACCTCCAGCCACAGTCACCTAATGAAACTGCAATTGTCACTTACAGAGTATGCACATCTTATGTACAGGTTTAGGGAAAATGCATTGCTTGTAATGTACATGCATGTGTTGTTATCCAGGTGGCATACGTCGACTTCAGGAGTGCGCCATGATGCACCTCTTGCTGAGTGGAATCTTCATCAAGACAGTTGGTGCCGTGGTCGTAGTTCTAGCCAGAGTGCGGAGTGTCTGAGCAGCTGAAAAGGGATCTGTGGCAGGAGCTGTGCAGGAGAGCCTTTACGGAGTTACTGCAGCTGCAAGACAGCTAGTACATGCTGGAGATCATGCAATCAGAGAATGGTATATAGTATCCTGTTCTAATAAAGTTAAATTCAAAGCAAAAAGTGCAGGATTCTGCTATACATTATGGCACATTTATAAAGTCGCATGTGATATTTTACTGGTGTCAAGTATGGTTGTAACGGGAGTATGATTGAAGTTATACACTAGTAGAGTAGGAATACTCAAGAATTGGTAGATATGAAAAATATGGTTTGCAATGATTGACTTTTGTAATTATGAGGACTAATTCTGGATTTTTTTTATTTTAAAGGAAGAGGACATACTCAGGAATAGGTCATTAAATAAGGAATAGGTTTCTATGAAAAAGGTTACACACATTACCTCCCTTATATAATAAGAGAGCACTCAACGTTCTCAATATCCTGATTTTCTGGAACACCAGGTTAAATTACGTACATTTTTCATTGTCATTGGCCAGCAGTGCTATTTCATATGAGAACTAGTGTATGATGCTAATCAAAATATATCCATATATAATATTGCTGAAACTATACACCTGTGGTCAGCACGTACTCAGCAGTAGTGTGATATGAAAAATGCTGATACCAATGATTCACTTTCTTAATTATAAGGAGGTAAATTTCTCACACCTCTTTAAAACGTGCAATATCGTAGAGGTCACCCAAGAATATTAACATTGGTGTAGTAGACTGATGGGTAAAGCATTATGTGCAATGTTTGGTAATTCAATTTTTAGTAAAAACAAAACTTTCTAATGAAATGTTTTTTCCACTACAATTTATTGTGGTTGTTTTTAGTTGGTATACAGTTGGCTTTGACTATACACTCATACGGCTTATATCTTGAATATATATGTATCAAGAGCGTATTAAGTATACTATGCTTATATCTGCTATACTTAACATGCTCTTGTATGTATATATATATATATTATCATAAAATGACTATGGTCACATTCACATGGCTGCTTACACTGATTAGCTAAAATTACCACAAACAGTTCTCACATTTTACATCTGTCACTCCAATACACACATATGTAATCTCATCTTCCACTACATAAACTGATGAACAAAAACATAACATGATTTTGAAATAGCTATTTATACAAGATATATATATACACCAAATGATTATACCATCAAGTATATCAGAAATATACCAGACGAAATTCCAATACCAAGGAAAAGGGTACAATCTGGGATTTCCAAAAAAGTGTAGAAAAAAAAGTATATTTTTGTATTCTTCAAAAAAGTACTTTTAAAAAGTAGCAACACTTTTTCAGATGGATAATAAATAATCATACCAAAATAAGTTAACGTATAACATAAGATATAATGGGGTGTGCTGTAGGTACTATCAGCAACTATTCAACTAAAAAGATAATAAAAAGATATTTTTTTAGCATAGGCTTCGATGATTGCAATCCCTCTTCCAACTCTGCTCTTAAAACTTACACTTGCAACAAAAGAAATTCATGTGTAGTAATTCATGAAATCTATCAACAATCTCTTAAAACTTATACATATACAATGAAGTGCAGTTTACAGAGAAAAAGAAATCATAACTCCATTGACTGTGTCATATGGTCACAGAATGGGTATACTATAAAGCAAGCCTTGTGAGATCAACGCCATAAAACCGGAAAATACAAGTAGCAACCTGGCCCACTAATTATAGACCCTTCAGACGTATACCCTATAATACTAGTGACCTTATACTATAACGTGATGGGTGACTTGTGTGCTAATTAGAGCTTGCGATACACTTGTATTAATTATTATACACGTGCAATCAGGAGTGAATAAAAACAAATGTGATATATTTCTGGCTTTATGTTTAAATATAATGCAGGTCAAATTTATGTTACAATTCTAGTCTCTCTCGACCTGATCTGGAATACTGGTATATGCACTTTTTGACATCACGAGAACAAATAACATATAACTGGAACCTTGTGCCAGTAAAGTGCTCAACACGCATGGGGCAAAGATGCATATTAGTGTCTCATAAAATAAGCACTGAGCCCATGAGAGGAGACTAACGTATAAGTTAACAATGATTAACAGAAATTAGTAGGCAAAGGGTCTCCGATTTTGCATTTTATTCGACATTACTGGGTTTGCACACGAATAAAAAGTCATCATAACATGACTGAAGCATGCCATTTGATGCAGTACTGAATTTGAACAATATTTAAAAACATTGGATAAATGCAGGCCGGGGGGGGGGGTGTGCCTCGTTCGAACTGGGTTAGGGGGGTTCCTCGGGAAAACTTGAAACTGACCTGTGCAAACCGCTTTTGCGCCCTAAATACACCTGTCACCAATATTGCACTAAAACTATAACCTGTTGCAAATATTGCACGTTTTGTATATGTCTGTCTCCGCTGTCAATATAATTAGAGCAATATGGCCAATATCGGACTTGTGATATTGACCAATATTGTTGCCAATATTGGGCGATATTGAACCAATATTTGCCTATATTGAACAAATATCTACCTATATTGACCCAATATTGTTTTGCCAATATTAGGCCAATATCAGCTTGATGGGTGGGTATCTAGATAACCCTGTGCCAATAAAGATGTTCGGAAAATATACCCTGTATCAATAATGATGTTCGGAAAATATACCCTGTCCAGCGGCACGTCCCCAGTACCTTTAACAATGGGAGTGCCCCCCACGAGAAAACCGGGCACAAATGTAAGCCAATTTTCACGCCAATATGGTGACGTTGCATTGTATCGAATTCTATGTTACTTGTAGTTCACCAGTAATAGCTGATCAGATCAATACAGTAAGGTTTAGGGTATATCTGCACCCATTATTATAAGGATGACATATAAACGACATAAATATTATATATATATCATATAATCTGATGATAATTACATACATTATATATCAGAAGAAATCCCATTCGCGTAACAAATCCATCACTAACGATAATTCCAAAGGAAGAATGTATACATCGACTATTACACACAGATCAACTACTACACATACGCAGTACGCCTCCTATAACTTGTCTTCTATAACGTACCTTACGTGGTAAATTACTAACACTCTTACTTGGTAATGCTATTAGCCATGTCAACTGTGTCTATCTTGACAGCTGTCCATTAGTTGTACTCTGAACCTATCACGATGCTCATTTGATCACCAATTACAAGGGTCTTATGGAACCATCTGTTTGTATCCAGAACAACTATAAAACAAATACAATATGTATTACACAGACGGATGTGGTACACAGTCCCAGGAACATATATGTATACTATGACAATGTATGTCTATGTATATCAATGTGTCTATGTCTGTGTGTGCTTACGTGCGTGCATGCGTTGCGTGCGTGCGTGCATGCATTGCGTGCGTGCGTGCATGCATTGCGTGCGTGCGTGCGTGCAAGCATTGCGTGCGCGTGTGCATGTGTTGCGTGCATACATGCGTTTTGCGTGCGTGCATGCGTTGCGTGCGTGCATGCGTTGCGTGCGTGCATGCGTTGCGTGCAAGCGTTGCGTGTGTCAGTGCAAGCATTGCATGCGTGCGTTGCGTTGTGTGTGCATGCGTGGATAAATCACCCATACACCTGCTTGTAGAAAGTTGCCTAGTTGCTGGCACAGACGCTATATAGATATCAGAATTGTACACTTACTAATCTCTCCAGGATGTACGGTCACTTCCATTTCTCGACACTCTGTGTAACACTCAGGTGGAGGTTGCAGGGTCCAGGTCTTACTTCCACTGATTTGTGCCTGCCAAGATGGGTTTCCAACAGCATCCACCTAATACAACGGAAACTGGCTTTCAGTCTAAATTAAGGCAGATGAGCTCTGATGATTTCTTGATACACACTTGCAACATAAAACACTGGCAATTTTGGTTTATTTCATTGGCAGTAATTAGGTGTATCCACGGGACTATATCGAAGATGGGGAGAGACAAAGTTGATCAAATAGACAGATCAATACTGCAGATGTCCTTAATAAATTCTAGTAGGTTATTATGGAATGATCGAAGACATAACAGCTATTCTCCTGTATACATTATATCAGGAGTGTATAATATAGATCTCTATAATTATTATACACTCCTGATTATATTACCTCAATCCCATTCATCATTAGATAGATTATTAGATTATTAGATTATTATTATTCACTCCTCATGATGTGATATCAGATGATGTTGTTATTAGAATTTCTGGTATACATTACAGATCATTATAGAACTATTATATAGACATTATTTCGTTGTAGGTTATTGCATTTTATTTGATATTTTTTTATTTCACTTCATTCTATGTACGTGTGTGTGTTGCGTGTGTGCGCGCGTGTGTGCGTGTGTGCATACGTGCGTGTGTGCGCGTGTACGTGTTTTACACAGAATTTTCACAAGATTTACACGTGTTGACTAGTGAGTTACTGTGAGTATACTTCATATACCTAAGTGCAAGCTAATGCCCCTCGAGGTTATCATACGTGAAAAGCTATTGTCCGCGCGTGTGCCGACAAATTGTTTGGGCACGCGGCTAAATATAGCAACTAATCACAGCTTTGCTTATACGTGCAGCATACAGCATCATCTAAACTTGATGGCAGGTGCCATCATTCATCAAGGTATAGAGTTCTGGCCCAAACTGAGAGTGCTCAAGAACACCTAACATGGTAATTCCAGCTCCATTTTCCATTACGCACAAACGGTCATTAATTAATATAACGTTGAGCCTAAATCAGAGCAGTGAGACATGTCCACACTTGTTACCCTAGACAATGTGATATGGACTCGATTATGCAGCATTTTGACCATAGAAATATATATAGTTAGATGTATCTATATTATTACTATGATTTTGACATTATACGCTGTACATGCTGAACCGCACAACCACACTTGCCATACTGGCGTCATACTGGAGTTACTTCCGCATATACTAGCTACGCATAGCCATAGCAGCAAAGTGGGCAAACCAGTTAAGCAGCGGTACGTTCGCAGAAAACAGATTTATATTGTCTAGCGCGCGTACGTGAGTCTTATACGCGAGTCTCAAACACCTTTTACATACGCTGTATTTATGTCGGATATGCTATCAGGTACTTACATGTAGGCCTACACCTGCTTCAATAAGGTTTGACATACTTATAATACCAAGAGCTAATAGCTCTTTATAATACCAGGAGTGAATAATAATAGATTATTATTATATATCTTATTTATTATAATATTATAACTTTCCAATTATTCCAAATAATATAAAATAAATAAATATATTATTTGGATGATAGTATGATACATCTTTAGGATATAATCGTAAAGTCAGGTTTGTTAACTGTAACTATGCATTCACAAAGCATAATTAGCACATGTAACATATATCAAGAGTAGATAATAACACATGTGTTATTATCTATTCTTGCATATATGTAAACTTTATATGGAACATACGGCCTGCACCTCAACATTGCCTCAAGAAATTCAAAGCCACGCCTGGTATACTTAATTCATGAAGCCTTGGAGTGGCCTTTAGGGAATAGTTTGACTTTTCACAGCTATAGAGATTGTCTTGCCTCTTATCTAGTGAGAACTGCAACGCGGATACTCATTTATATGCAATCATGGAAATAATAGATCGCAATTGATTTGTGGGGATTGAAACTGTTATCTCCCTTGCCCAGCTGCGACTCAGCGGCTGGCCGCTCAACACCTCCCCTTTGTAAATACTATACTCTTTTCAGCGGCCCCATCGATTCCATCATATGATCATGCCATCATTCTATCAGATGATCATGCTGCTACCGAACGAAAATCGCACTAGCCCTTTCTCGGCATTCGCCCTTTCTCGGGGCATTCAAAGATATGCTTGGCTATCCATAAACGGGGACATTCGGTGCCGTTTCTGGCATACTTACATGCATGTGAGCACCGTATCCTGGAACACCCATGAAGATCCAGTCGGTCTTGCTTGACTCGGAGTCGACTGGGAGAAAGTACGGCCGCTGGTAGTGCTGGCGCAGTACGTTAGCGGCGGATGAGTCACAGTTGCTCCTAGAGGGAGAGGTACTTCTATTTAGTCTTAACGCTATTTCTTATCAAAGGACTCTAAAGAAGTCGCTATTAACTAAACTACAAAAAACAAATATAGATGGATAACCTGCGTAATTTTACCTCCCCACCTCCCGTATCTCCTCTTCCACCTCCAGTTTCTCTTCCCATGCAATCATCTCATTTCTACCGTTTTCTACTCTTTCCCATTTCCAAATTTTGTTCGCCTATACTCACTGAACCTTGTGCACTTTCTTCACGTTCTTTATCTCCCCCACTGTCTTACCCTAATCTACCTTCTACCCACTCCACCTTCTACCCACTCCACCTTCGCCCCATCCTCCACCTTCTACCCACTCCACCTTCGCCCCATCCTCCACCTTCTACCCACTCCACCTTCTACCCACTCCACCTTCGCCCCATCCTCCACCTTCTGTTATTCCTCTACCCCACTTTCTCCCCTTCGTCTACATTGTCGCCTTCTCTGCCCCTTCTATTTTCCCCACTCTACCTTCTTTGGCATGTCTATCACGTCTACCTTCTCCCACTCTCATGCGTTCCCTGACCCCATTTATTGCACCCTCGCCCTTTCCTCTAACTCATTGATGTTACCCATTTTTCTTCTTTCTACTACACCTCGTAAATTCTCTTCCCCTCATATACCTTCTCACACCCTCGATCCTCTCTACCTGAGAGTTTGACTGTATTCATTTTTGCCATCTATAGGTTAGCACAGGATCGAGTGAGTTAAAACAAATGTTGTTTTCTGTTTTAAATAAATAAATAGAAATTATTACACACGCAAAATTCCATTACACAATTATAAATTAATGAAATAAAAACTTTTTTATTTGCTTTTGATAAGATGCACGTCAGCTAGATTTTATCTGTGTCTGTGATTCGCACATCTCTCCAATTACTGCCAAGAATGTACAAACTATACAAAACATAAAACATTGTAAAGCAAAATTGAGTAACCAAAAACATACTTGAATTGAAATTTTTTTCATTCAGTAATTTTATTATTACTTCAGTAATTGTAATATCATTTCTTCTCTTGTACTTCAAATTGCTAACCTGATATACAAGTTATTTCGTTTTTTCTTTTTAGTTTCTCTAGTTGTTCTTTAGTTGGTCACAAAAAGAACAGGGCGACTCCGGATATCCCCTTAGTACTATATAATGGAATATTTTCTGTAGTGTGATTGACCTAATAATAGTCAACTGACTGCCTATTATAGATAATAAAAGACCTAATGACGCAATTTTCCCAGTTTATTTTATTATCCAGCAAGATTGCCACTTTACGATTTAGGCTTATCTCATTATACCTTCCAATGATGGCTTATCTGTGAGGAACAGGCTGCAAAGTGATTCAATTGGCAGTGATGGAGGCTAATCCACGGAGCCTGCTCGTGCGCGATAACGTAAATCTTATATTTCTTACACGGCGACCCAGTCGTACGATCACGGGAGACAATTTCGCAATATCAATACTCACTTGCGAGTGTAAGAACCACAACCCTTGAGAACAGTGCGTATGATAGGAGCAGAAGTAATACTATAGACACTGACAGATCTATGCTATTATGCTACGCCTGATATAAAGCTAAGTGTGTGGTATGTGGGGACAAATGGAGCAAGCATATGCACATATATAATGGCGACATATAATATATATATATATGGTATTGACAATTCGTATTGATATAATTAAATGGCTTACTTTACTGCAATTTGCTCTATTTCAATTCAGTTAGTGCAAGCACACTAATACCATCCAAAGTCAGTAAACCTCCACATCGGGAGGTTAACTCAGCTGTCACACTCCCACTAATACTAAAGCACTGCAAAGTAACAATATCATTCACTTGATCGAGGCAACCCACATTACATACTGCTGAACAATACTGGCATATATGCTTAAAATGTACTGAGCACCAATATGCTGTAGAACAGGTGAAAAGGATAGAAGAGGGAAGATGCCAGGGGCAGAGAAAGTGAATGATGTGAAGAAGAAGAAGAAGAAGAAGAAGAA